ACTTGTTGTTCGTGTGTTCAACTAGCAACAATCACTGCAGCAGCCAAAGTGTTTTCTAGCTGCAGCAGCAGCAGCAGCAGCAGCAATGGTAACAGTAGGAAGCGGCAACATTAACGGTCTTCGTTGTGAGTCATCGTCGTCGTGGTCGTCGTCGTAGTACTAGTAGTACTAGTAGTAGTAGTAGTAGTAGTAGTAGCAGGAGTAGTAGTAGTAGTAGTAGCAGAAGTAGTAGTAGTAGTAGTAGTAGCAGCAGTCAGCAGTAGTGGTAGTAGTAGACATACAGTAAGCGGCAGCAGAGCCCCACTTTCAAAGCAAATTGTCGAGCCTGCCCAAGCCTTGCTCTCTTCGTAGCCGACCTGTAGGTCCCGTCCCAGCTCTGCGGAGCGGCGGAGCCATGTGGCAAAGGCCAACTTGAAAAATGCAGAACGGAATGCTACGCCGTCTCTTAGCTCTGAGGGTTTGATTTTTTGCTCCACTTCTGCCCTCTTCCTAGCAGAATCAGTCACAGTTGGTCTTAGTCGGTGCAGATGCAGAGCTGACAGGCCGCAGAGGAGTGGAAGGCCCTTCGAGCAGCGTGCGTGCTTGCTGCTTGCCTTTGAGAGAATGCGAATGACGGGTATGAGACTCAACAAGCCACATGAAGAAAGAGGTTTTGTGCAATTTGCAAAAGGGGGTGTCATGCGAAGCGTCAAGGTGCCCGCCTGGAAGCCCTCCACTTTTCGAGATATGCTCTCTGTGGAACTTCATGCTCGCAGTCTGAGATTCTGCTTCTATAGCCCCACTCCGGCCATGCACGTGCTCCCTTTCTATCTCTACACTTGGTAGTTTCAAAGTTTGCTGCCAGGATGATGGTGCCGCAATACAGGCTTCCGAGCTTCGCAGACATCCGGAGGATCAGGCGCTGGATTGTTCTTACGGATCTACAATCGCTAGGATACCTGACATGTCACAAATCCATACTGGTAATTCGATGTTCGATATTCGGCGCCAATACCTAGCCATTGCCTTGGAGGCTAAGAGCGACAGAACTCCAAAGCGTATTCAGCTGCAGCGCGCATGGCCAGAAAGCTGATTCGGCATCTGATTTTGTGTGCACAGCTGTGGTCCAAGTTGATACCCAGATCGCAAGGACCATTTAATCAACATCCAAGACCCGTCGTAGCTTCCTGTTGTATCCATCTACACTAACTCCAAATCCTGAGGCGCGTTAGGCTGAAGCTCTGCTTTTGCTTATTTTCTTAACTGCACAAAGCAGTGGCAAGACTTTGGTCTCAAGGCGTGGTCCCCACATATGCTCGAAGGCCTAAGGAGAGACATGCCTCAGCTTGTGCCACCCCATGGCCTGCCAGAGGAGTTCTACAACTTTGTGGGGCTGAAGGCTAAACTCGCTGACACGCCTTTGCAAGACGTGGAAGACATGTGGTTGCGCGCTCAGGGTGCTAAGCAGTTTCCTCGTGATGGCAGTAAAGAGGTTGGAAAATTGCATTCATTCCAATAACCCATCCCAAGACTGTAGGGACTTGAAAGCACACGTAACAGTGATATCCAAGAGTGGGGCCTTTCGTGTTCACCGATTCCAGGATTTGCCATTGTTTTACTTTTGCGGCAGTGCATGGGCCGCAGGGGCAAACTGATCGCGAAGGCGTTATGCTCATCAGCTGGGTGTTGGGTCAGTTGGGTCAGTATGTGCAGGTTGCAAGACCACTGACGGGTTTTCAGTGACCTTGTGCTGCCCGAATCTCTCACCTTTGTGTTCCAATTTCCTACTTGACAACGATGGCGAGATTCAATAAGGCCTGCAAGCAAGCTAGCGCTTTGTTTGTTCATATTCATGTCCCAATGTCAGGGCTCTTGCAGTTTCATACTCAGTCTCGAGGTATCGCATGTACATGTTGTTTTGCCATGCTATGCTAAGGCGCAACCGCATGAAGCCTCAATGGGTCGTGCACGAGCAGGCAGCAAAGCCATGGCGTGCCCTCAAACATGCATGAACCTCCACGCATTTCCGCGAACCACGAGCTTAAGGCATTCACCTGGCATTCCCTCCAACGGCCTGGAATCGAACCCATGTCACCTCTGAGTAGTTAGCTAATCTTGGATTGGGTGGTTTTGGAAGCCTCTGGCACAGGAGCGCGCTGCCGCACAGTCTTGGAAGGATGATGGAAGCGACGTCAAAGCTGCTGAGCCCTTACACAGATGCAAGAGCTCCGCACTGTTTGCAAGAGGTTGCTGAGCAGCGCCGTGCCCTGTGAGCAGACAGCATGTCCACCTGCGTTGCTTTTGGAGCCTGCAAAGTAGCCCCACTGTGGGGAGTTGCAAGACCAGAACATTGCTGAATGAAACTCGTCAACTTCAGATACGACAGCAAGGCTTCCATGCATATACCATCGTCGGCATCTCTCATTTCAGAACAAAAGAAAATGGACCATATATGCTTAGGCGCAAACCCTTGAGCCCATGCCATGCCCTGTAAAATGTGAAGCACCCGAGCGGCCATGGGTGGATTCTGCGGAAAGTCTGGAAAAGGAGTCCTGTCAGAGAATTTGTTGATGTTTGTTTTAGGCTGAGGGTCGAATCGCCTACCATGGAGGGTGTGGCAGCTGGTCTGGTCATAAACCTTCTTCTGGCTTATTTTGTAGGTTCAGGCTGTTACGACAGTAGCAGCTGTAGGGGTCAGCTGAGGCGGACTGGACCCAAATGCAACTCTTCAGCGGCATGGCGGCTTTTCATTGCATGCTCGTTGGGTTCTTGCTTGAGGGATGTAATTTCCAAGGGTCCAATGACTCCTTAGACAGCGCTGCCTCATGCGCAGTTGGAAGCTGGGAAGTGGGTTCACAAGCTATATGCAGCCAAATCCGCCCCCAAGAATTCCTCAAGGCTCCTGCCTGGGCGCAAGAGGCGGTTGGGGCGGCGTGGCCTCGTGGCCTCGGATGGACAGGCAGGTTCTGTTGTGGACCCATCCTCGGGATCCTTGGTGCATTCCCCCGAAGGTTCAAACATTGTCTTGGAAGATGCTGATGCATTGTAAAAAACCTGCAGAGCAGGAGATGGAGAAGGATGGCTTTGAGGCCAAGATGATGAAGGCTGAAGGCCACCTTGGGGTTAGCTGCTAAGTCTGCTAAGTTTTGCTCATAATCATAGAAGGAGAGTCTAGAGACTATGCAAAGCGTATCTAGCGTGCACTGCCAGCATGTTGAGTACTTCTCGTCTGCAACGCAAGTGCACTATCTGGACAGAGTTCAGCGTGGCAGTCAGAAGACAAGCTTCTGTCTGAAACTTCCTGATACCTAAGAGGCCATGCACCCAGATCACCTTAATGCAGCCAGCTGCAGGCACAGGATCGTTGACCAAATTTGGCATCGGTGGCTATGGCAGCAACACGGGGCTTGTTGGGTATGAAAAGATTTGTTGAGTGAGGGCTTGACTTTGGGGAGTGTATTGACAAGAAAATTGCGGAAGTCCTGCTAAGAGTACAACAGCTTTAAAACAAGCGCAGCTTCCAGACTGCAATGGCTATAAGTCATTATTCAGTGGGCTGGACAATCTAGCGGGCTTAACTTATTCCTGTTGAAGAAAGGTGTCAGTGGGGTCCATGCTAGGGATGGCGAACCCAGCCCGGAACTCTCCAAAGTGCCCCTACATGCTCACACACAAGCACTTGCTGCGTGGTGGATGCACGGCAGCGCAGTGGGAGTTTGAAGCACACCAAAAGCCACTTGAGATCCGACTACAAACTGCAGCAAATCCTAACATTGACGAGGCTGCGTATGCCGAAAAGGCATGAAGCCGCAGAGCCCGAGCCAAGACGATTTCTGCGCCTTCCACACTGACCTTTGCACCGTGGCTCCTTGGGACCGCAGGCAGGTATGCAGGATCTGTGAATGATTGGCAGAATTATGCGCTATAGTCCTGACATGGTTATAGTATACTAGAGATTACTAGAGCGCCTTACTCTGCACTCCAACCCCTGAATTAACAGTGGACCAAGCCATGTGTAGGCAGGAGCCAGGGTTCTTGTCCCACGAAGGGCAGCCTTATCAAGTTTTGACAGCAGCGCCTGTGCACATGAGGGTCATCAAATACTCTATTAACGCCCCACTTTGCTGTTCCGTAGCTCCGAACTGAAAATTACATTACAGGAATCCCGGAAGCCAGCTTCGCACAATAGGTGGTGCAGGTTGGGCGCAGGAATCTTGAGTATTCTGAGGATGACCAATTCAGTCAACCGTGGTACCTTGCTCAGGCCAGGCTCCTGCATCCCGTAAAGTCGTCCCTGTTTTGCTGAGTTTGAGCGCACAAACACAATAAGAAATTATCGCACGCCCCAGGAGGGCTGACCCATCTTGCGAACATGTTGACCAACCATGCTGTTTCTAGCCACACACAAGCCATGTGAAACGCATGGCAACTGGAACCTTGCCTGATTTGTTTGCAGTACCCGAAGACCAACTTCAACAGAACTTTGCGTATGCAAGATTCAGGGAAAGCACCCCGAATCGCAGCCGGAGAAGAGATCTTGGACAATACTCTCATGCACATGGTGCATACAGACCCAGAAGCACACTGCTTTGTGTTCACAACATTCAGCCCCGCTATCATCTACGCCCCATGTACCAGACCCGGCCCAACTTAGACTGCAGGGCGAAGCTCAACCAGATCCATTCGATAGGCATATCCATCTGATTAAGCTGAGGTTGGCGTGTTCGACGGGCATGGTCCGTTCGGCCACCATGTCGCCAACTTTGTTCAGGACCATTGCCGTCATCGCATTCACCGAATGCTTATCAAAATTGTTTACGGGTCCTGCAATGCATTCAATGGCAGGGAATCTGTAGCAGCAGTCAGCTTCTCAAGCCTTATAACCTTTCTCTAGCAGCCGCTCTGAAGCAGCCTTTGAGAATTGTTTTGCTTTAAACCAGTCTTAAGGTACATTGTTTATACGGACATTCTCATTTTGAGGCTGCCCACGGAGCATTCTGAATGTCAACCAAATTAAAAGGAGTGACCCATTCAATGTTCGCAAGTTGCATTCTAAAAGGCCTGAGAGATTGTCACCGGAAGCTGCAAGTATCAGATGTCTCTGGGCGGGAATCCGTGTAGCGTATCAGCTGTTCCAATCGGAGCAGGGGAAACAACGAACAGACTCAGACAACCGGGCATCTCCACGATCAGGTGTGATCATTGAAACGGATCAGATTGCCAGCGCTCGGATCTAGCTGAGCCATGAATCCTTTTTGTCGCCTATGCTCTAACAGACTTGTTATCCAGGTATCACTCCTGCTGACCTTCCAGTAACAAACGGGGTGGCAATAAATATCTTCCGTCGGGCTCGAAAAATCTGGCATCTTGCCTTCTGACCCAAAGCCCGTAAGCAATGGCAATAGCAACGCAGTGGCAATAATGAAGCTCCTCGCCCAAAGCCATCCAGATATTCATGGATTTTGGATTATTTATTACTTGTCATACGACTAGTACTATGCTCAGAACCCCAACAAACCTGTACAATTCAAATCCATGTCTTCCTAAACCCTGAACCCAATCTGATGCCATACTTTAGGATGATGATCTGAAACCTGTAGGTGACGGATCTAGCGGTGGCAGTGCGTGGCGGATCCTGTTCATGTGAAAGCTTGATCGGATACCAGTGAGCTGATACAGTGGCCCGGCCATGTCGCCCAGAAAGCTGCAGCCTGGTAGTATGTACGCAGTCGGGAGCTGTGCCAATGATTCCTCAAAGTCCAGCCCACAGGAACACCGAGGAGGCATTTATCATTCTTACTGCCCTTTCCTGCTAAGCGACGTTTGCTCAGCGCATCTGTGCTTGTCGGAGCCCAAGCACCTGCAGCAGGAAACGCTGCCACGCATGTTTCTCCAGTCGCAGGGCTTCCTACAGAAGGAGGCTGGGGCTGGGAAGGTCCAAGGTGCTGTAATTCTCATTTCTGTCACGGCCGTTTTGTTCCACTTGAATCGGCTGACACACCGCGGGCGCGTCGGGTCCCCATTTTTTGCATGTAATAAGGCTTGTGCGCCTTTTCCGATTTTATTCTGTGGGTTTCGTGGGCGTGTGGAGGGAACCATCTCAGGAGAAGTGGTGCCAAGATTTTGTGCTCAATTCTTCTTGTTCTTCCTGCAAGTTGCAAGGGAATGCTGGGGGCCACGGCGTCTCTACGCCAAGAGCCCTGAGAAAAAAGTCATAGTGCCTTGTATATATATATATATACACGTCAGGTAGAGAAGGCACTGAAGGACGCGTTCATGGAGACAAACCAGAAGTGCCAGAGGCTTATAGCAAGCCCAGAGTTATGTTCCCTTTGGGTGCATGCACAAGAGGGATGCGGCCAGGATTGTCTATCTCAGCGGCAACTGCCACTTGAGTGTGCCGAGGTCTCGAGCACGAAAGCTTTGACTGCCAGCTCAGTGGTACCACAGCCACCCTAGCCTACATCAGCCAGCGCATGCTGTGCCTGAGTGAGATTGGCGGGATTAGAAGGTCTATAATAAATTGACTGGACAGCAATGATGAGTTGATTCAACCGGCTGGCTTCGGTAGAAAGTCATTTAGAGTCAGATATTATGACCCGAGCCTCATGTGCTAAGCTATACAACACTTGCGCCTTGTCTCGTGAAGACAGGCATGCCATTTCCTAAAGTTGGGAGCCCAGCCGGCTTCTCTTAAGGCTGGATTGAGAAGCGCAGCCTAGGTACATTGCGCACGTGGGCGACTCACAAGCTGTCGTTGCCTCCAAGCCCAAGCCTACGCAACTTGGAATGCATCACACATGATCCTCCTTTCGCCGGGGATATGATGCGATGTCAGTCGTAAGCTTACTGCTGATCCTTCTCCGACTGCTTTTTGTCCTGCTTGTCCTCCTCCTGCCCCTCCTGCAGCTCCTCCTGCTTTTCCTCCTCCCGTGAACGTCCCATTGCCCAGAGAGCTGCGAGTCGCTTTTTTGAAGCTACCTGGGATAAGGAAGGGTTCCGCTGCTCCCGTTGGCCTGGAGGTCGAGGCAGGGAAGGACAATTGAAGAGTTGCTGCTGTGCGGTCTCTTCACGTTTAGGTAGCTCACCGGAAATAAGCTGAAGACGGCACTTTGATGTCAAACCACCTACGCAAAGCAAGCCCCAGAAAGTTGTTCAAAGCACACCCATGGAGGACGTAGGCTTATCTTCCTGTGAGGTGCTGACGCCTGAGCACCGGCTCTCGCAAGAGGCAGAGAGGCCAGAGCCAGAACCCATGCGCTGGGGAAGCAGTTGGATATGATGCCCTGACGTAACACCTCGCTTCAAAAAGCGAGGGTTCTGGACGAGCTTTAGTATTCCAGGGCGTCCGGATAGTCAAAAGCCGTTGCAGCACTGCACACGAGTGCGCTTGTCGTAGCCTTCCAAGTGCACACAAGCTCCTGCCAGAAGTTTGACCGCCCAGCTTATTCTCATTTAGTTCTCATTCCCAGCCACAGCCCGCTTTGCATGTGGAAAAGCCAAGAAGCAAGTTAGGCCTGAGAGAACCAACCCCTTCCAGGCAACGCGTTGAGGCCTCCGGCGGGCAGGTGATGCAGCTCGAGGGTGACATCCCCCTGCAGCTTGCTTCTTTTTACTTCAAGCTCGTTCTGTTGAGGGGTGCCTTGCTATTTGGTTCTTTCGGCGGGCCTGAGCATCCAGCCGGCCCGGCAAACCTGCATCCGCTGTTGGGCACTTTTCCCCCCGTCAGGGGGTTCTGTTGAGGTAGGTGCCTTGCTATTTGGTTCTTTCGGCGGGCCTGAGCATCCAGCCGGCCCAGCGAACCTGCATCCGCTGTTGGGCACTTTTCCCCCAGCTGAAACTTAGAGTTCACGTAGTCAACCACAAACATAGCCCTTTCCAATCTGCCTGATAAGCCCCCGAATTAAATCCTGACCAGCCGAGGCGAGTTTTCCTGAAGGGAAAGCTTTACCCTGGCCGTGAGCCCGGGGGGAGGGCTGCGAAGAAGATCGCTCGTAAAAGCAGATTTTAGGGTTTAGGGGCTTAGGTTTTCGGATTTGTTCGGTGGTTCTCTTCATGTGGAATGACGATTACCTGGCTCTGAAGGCTCGTACTTCGATTCTTCGCGGCAACATCAGGTGATCCGCCATTTCGAATGTTATTCACATCCCCGAACATCAGCAGAGTACAGAACCCAACGTATAGTGTCTTGTTGCAGTTCACTAGTGCCTCTTAACAGTTGCTTTTTACACATATCCTGGTACCTTGTTTTCGGCGGCTCCAAGGCCTCGTCATTACCCGGGCATTGGGCGACAAGGTTGGAGCCACTCAGCTTTCATTTGGTAGAAGTTTATGGGTGTGATGAAGCGTGTCTCAGCTGGCTTCAAGCCATTTCTATCCTCACAGTGCACTCGCCAGTGATGAGAGTGTTTGTGAGTGTCTGAGGCCGAAGCCGGGGTTTCTTCTGAGCCAGCTGTGCGTGCTGTGGAGAGGACCAGGGATGCTTGGGGCATGTTGACGGGTACCTAAAAGCCAGAAGCGTGCGGAGTGCCTGCGGTTTGCCTAGCAGGTCCACGTGTCGGTCTCATGTCAGATAGTTTCGACAGGATTTACACGGAGGCAGGCCTCTGACTCCAAAAGCTATCTCAGGCATGCCAGGAGTTTGCAGTTTGAATGCACCGCCATTCACTTCTTTCCGGGGATGGGTCCCGCATTATGAGGAGACCAGAATGGCAGTTCCTGCTGATGTGCTCCGACGGAGCTGCCTGGCTGAATGGGAGTCTGGTTTTCTCCTTCATTTGTCAGATCCAAGACCTGCTGCAGCAAGTAAACTGCAAGTTACGCAATGTCTCTTCACCGGCAAAGCAGGAAAGTCTCGTGCATACCCGAAGCTTGCTACTGTAAGGTGTGGGAGTTCTGCGACTTCAAAGAAGCAGCAGAGATAATCTTCAAGTGCCACGGCTGCACCGATGATGAAGGCGTTCGTTTGCAGTTCCAGTTCGACACGTGCAGTGCCAACGCTTTAGTTTCGGGCGTGGCTTCACACCCCAGATGGTGCTAAACAGCTCCCTTTGCAACTGAACCACGGCTAGAGCTTCAGTCAGAATCATACCTGCAAGCTCCTTCAATGGTAACTGCTGCTAGACTGCTAGACCCTGCAAGATGATTGTCAATGAGGTAGCAGTTTCTGGGTTCTTAGCTCGAGATACGAAAGCTGACTCAGGTACCCGCCAAGCAAGGCGCAAGAAGCAGCCGAGGCTTGGGATGGTGTGCTTAACGAACATGGTATTCCCAACATAGTACCATTATTATATGTGTGTGTATATATGTCTTTGTATATACATACACAGAGTGGCAGAACACGTGGCATTAGGTGGATGTGGTTGTGTTTTTTTTTTTGTGCGGCAGTCTAAGCGTGAATTTTCAGTGTTCTCGCTCGTTCTAGTCTTGCGCTGGTACAGTAGCCACTTTACGAGTAGCTTTGCCATCTACTGAAGCCCGCAAGCAGTTCACAAATACGACTTCTGGGTTTTTCACATTGCACACTACTTTCCCTTGCAGGCACACCCTATTGGACACTATTTAGCTTTAATCATTACGGTCACTGTTGCTATCACTATTATCTTTGTTTATCACTGCTACAACTCTGGTGTTTACTTTATATATATATATATCGTCATACTAGCGCTATACCATTGCAACCAGAATCAGGCCCTGGCCAGAGAAGCCTGGGACCGCTGGGTCAAGGAAGAGGGGCCTCGCGGCACATCAAGTCAATGCTCAAGTGCAGATGGTAGGTTGGAATCGCACATCTGGTGCCCCACATTTCACGGCCGCATTGTGATGGGTACCCAAATTGACCATCATTTTGACAACCTACCAGATCTGAAAAGGCTGTGGCAGAGAGGCCTTAGACGCAGCTTGTGAGTCATGCGTGGGGCGTTTGCGCACTTCCATTCTTGGTTTAGATAGCATGACGAAAAGGCCTTTGACAAGAGCAATCTAAGGAACGTGGTGGATGACATCACAGTGATCGTTTGCTGGCTGCGTTCCTAAGGAACTGCAGTTGGGAAATTTGGCACAACAGCAGCTACAAGTTGGTTGCGACTGATGGTCTACAAGGATCATCAGCTTACAGTGGTGGTGCAGGCCACCTTGTACTACTAGCCAGAGCACAAAGTCTCAGCCCAAGGGGCGTCCAACCAGCACGGCCGGTATGAAAAGTTGTTGAGCGGGCGCAAGAGCGCACATGAGGGCTCGGGGGAGTCCCATGAGGACTACATGCACTGCAACAAGGTGTAACAAGTAGATCATGGCGAATGAATCCAGTTGATCCCTGCCCTAAAACGAAAAAACATGAAGTAACAAGCCCTGAAAGTTGCTAAGGATGAGCTACGCTGGCATCCTGAGGAAAAGGTGAATTTGACTTTCACAGACTTTAAGGCCAGAGCTTTGGTCGGCGATTTTGATACATCATGACATGTGGTCTATGAGGTAGGTCCACGGAAGAGAATGTAAACGAAACTTCGCAGCCAGGCAGCTAGCCGAAGCATTCCGTGCCGAAAGCCTAGCAGGAAGAAGTCACTGTTATTATTACTTATGGTTGTGTAATGATTATTGCTATATATGATGGTACTGGTATCTCGAGCCATCCTGGCGCCGACGGTCAGTTGGCCCGGAGGGTGGGATACGCGCCAGGAGAAGTTCAGTGAAAAAATGAAGCCTGAGGCAAGGCATCGGCAGTCTTCCTAGGAAATGCTTGACAAAATTGAGTGGTATTCTTCGTGGGCTCTACAATCAGGATCCCAGCGCCTTGAACGACATGTAGGGGGAAAAGCCAAGCAAAGTGGTTGGTTTGAGGTAGCAGGTGGCAGTGAATTACGCTTCAGCTTGCTTGGCCTTTGCCTCTGAGGAGTAAGTATGTTGGGGCAAGGTGGTATCCCTGAAAGTCCTTGAGATTCCTAAGCAACCGCCAAACAGCTTTCCTGTTTGTGCTGTGGGGTGGTCTTGCTGGTATTGTCCACGTACGACTGGTGTTCCTGCCATTGTGCTTGTAGAAGAATATGTGCCAGGATGTTGTCCGCGCCGATGTGCATATTGTTTTGTTTGCTGATCAGCATGGCCGTTGTGAAGCCGCTTCTGTGTGCAACAGGAGCTGGAACCTTTCTGGCGGGAAAAGATGAAGCCCCAATGGGTTGTTCGCTTCTCAGACTTGCTCCATTTCAGACTCCTTCTGTGGAAGGATGTGGAACGGAGCGTCATCGACTTCCTTTCAGAGCTAGAGCTCTACTTTAAAGCTTTTGAATTGCAGAGGCCTTTGTAAGGGTCATTTACTGTAGTAAAGGCTCGAGGATTGGCTGGATTGAGCGTTGGCTCTTTCCTGAAAAGGCTTCCATCAGATGACTTTGTTGCGCCAACTATCCCGTCTTCAAATCCACGCCTGCCCTCATAATCTGAAAAATTGTTAGTCAAGGCATGACTAGGACCATCTAGAACCCTACAGGTCCTGGCAAAGGTAATCTCCCTCTACAGGCTTGGTGTCTGGCTGCAGCACCATGTGCACTGAATCTCTTGCACAACACCTCTCATTTCCATGATTCTCCATATCCATCCAATCCACGCTGTTCCACGGCCACAGCGTGTGCCAATTGCTCTTTTTGTTGATACTGATGATGTATTTTAGTGGTGCATGCTCGCAAGTCCTCCTTCATGAACTTCTTGCATCCATGGCCTAGGAAACCGCTCTAGCGCGACCGCTGGTAGACCTCGCGTCAGTCAAGGCTGGAACCAGCAGGAAGACGCCTTACGAAGAGCCTCAGTCGGAAACACAAAAAACAATGAGAAGCGGGAAGAGGAGAGACTTCCAGAGGAATTGTCTACGCTTCCTGCATATTCTTGCTTTGGCCACATTTCCCTCGATGATGAATGGACATACGGACACCTTTCCGAGAGAGAGCTTGGACATTCACTTAAGAGAATCCTCAGTTCAATCTGGGAGAATACGCAGTCAGAGCACAACTCGCTTTGGATTTCCGATGACGCTAGAAGTACAGTAGTGTCTGCCTTACTTGGGGGCTGTTGAGAGAGTGGCCAGACTGAACGCTGTGCAGGCACCTATCCCTGATGCTGCCACCTGGAAGGACTTCACTTTCTTACCAAGTCGTGAGAAGATGATACAGGTGGAGGCTAGAGGATTTCTTTGCTACACTCAGACGGCCCCCACGAAAAGTGGCCAAGATCAAGGCACCACGCAGGATGGCGAGCGACACGTCCCTCATGAAAGTCATGACGCTGGTGAAGTTCCACCTTGTATGGATCAGCCCTGTACCACAAACAACACAGAATCAGGCGACGTGCAAACCTCCTGCACTAAACTGCTTCGCACCGCGGGTTCCCTTCGGGGTCTTGTTGTGTTCGCAGAACGCCGCAACAACACGCAGCTAAAATTGTGATGTTTGCGTAGCGACGTAATGCTGGATTGCAGGAACCGCAGCATGAATCCTAGTCATGTTTGGCTCATGCTTCTGCTTTCTGTGAGGACGACGGCGGTGCCATCAAATCGGCAAGGTCCTTACAAGAAAACACGCTGACAGCCGCGCTCCCTCGATCATACCCCCAACTGACCCAACACTGCCCGCCGCCCTCGGCAAACTGATTTGTTTGGGTGCAAGTAACGGTTTGGGGAAAACACAAAATCAAGGAGATTGTAAGCTCAAGCTATATAAGCAGCGTGTTTCCATGGGCCCTTACCTGGCTGCATGGAAGCTTACTCTTCGGGTCCTGGCCAGGGCTCGTTGCTTTGCATTTTCAAAGGCTGTTCTTGCAGGACACAACCCATGCTTGATCACACGTTGTGGGGTTCGTGGAACATGACAAACAACGCGGCCTTCTTTGAAGTTCATTATGGCCTGTACGCTGCAACTGTAGACTCGCTTCCCAGAGTTGCTGTCTGTGAAGCTCGAGCATGCACCTGCTGCCGCTTTCAGGGTGAGAAAAGAATTCTGGCAGATGACTCTCAGCAGCTGCCTCAGAGCATAATAGAGCTGGGTCGCTTGAGAGTGGTCTCTGAGAGCCTGGACTCGAGCATCAGCCTGCAAATAGGCTCAGTATGGGGATGGCTGATATGAAAAGCTACCCGACCGGCCTGACCCATCAGCAACGGCCATAAGTAAAGCACGGAAGCGACATCGCATGACGCAGGAAATCCCCAAAAGTTCCAAGGGAGGGTAAAAGGAGGGTTGCCTCCAGACGCTGGAACTGTAACACGCTTGCAAGGAATATCTAGTGGGCATTGAGGAGCACGGGCTCACGCACCACGTTTTACCACCACCCTTCAGCTTAAGGCCTTACACCTTTGAGGAACTCAAGGGCAAGCGCTCAGACGCGGCGGCCGAGGATTCGGCCTGTGTCTTTTGACTCAGAAGCACGCTCAGAGGATGCCGTTACCCTGTTTCTGTTTGGGGGTCCTGATTGAAAAGGGTAAAAGTTAGGATGACAAGCAAGAAGCTTCTATTTTGAAATTTTCTGGCTTTTCTCAACAGTACGAACTGGGCTTCACACTAAATCCTTGAGCCTTGGCCTCAGGAGCTCGAGAAGCTTTGGCGCCAAGAGATGAAGCCTGAATGGGTTGTGCGAGGCCCAGGTGGCAAAACCAAAGGTCGAACATGCCCTTACGGGGTCTCATACCATTACTGTGTTGCCTGCCACAGCCGCAGCAGGAGGAAGCAGTCAGAGGAGCAGGAATGGCAGAGGTAGTCGTAGCAGCATGGCAAGGTTCATTCAAAGGGTTGCATTTGCAGCAGTACCTGCTGAGCAAAAAGTATGGTGGCAGTTATTCGAGCTGAGAAGATCTCAAACGAGCATTGCGGCAAGGTCTTCTTGACTTTGGCCGCCATCTGCTACTGCTCTAGGATTGGCAGGTGGCTTTTTTTGCGTATTCTAGTGATGAAACGCATGGCATAGCGATTCAGCCATACATGCAATTGCCTCATATGGTATTTGCAGTTATCTTACGTCGGCCCGGTTTTCGCATGTTTTCCCTAATGCAGCGTCTACATGGGGAGATGCATATTCTTAACGACTGATGTGTGATAACCCCGTCACAATTATCTAAGATGACTGGGCAAGCTGCTCACTTCCCAGCCCTACCCTGACATCTGCCGCCCAAGGCTTGAGCGCCCAAGAGCTGAACATTCCCATGTTGGAATCAACTGTCCCCATATCCCAATGGAATTTCGCGTATATGTGCCCCTGGATATACACACACACCCTATAATAGCCCTAGTTCCCATTAGGTATGCCCCTTACATAACCTCCATTTACCCTACTTAGCTCAGCAGCAAAGCTGAGGCCCAAGAGTTGCAGTACGTCAAAGCTTAAGCCTCAGCGAAGAATCAACTTACCTCAAGGAGGTAAAATTCAGCAGATAATGAAGTGGAACCTACTTCTGTTTTGGGTTATGTAGGGCTGTCATCCTAATAAGTGGGGATCAAATTGGAAAGAAAAGGTAAAGTTGAAATGGAAACTGGGAGTAGTGGTTTATGGGGATTAGGGCTCCATGTTCTTCAAGCCCTGGGTCTGTCGTCCAAGCTCTGTGGCTCTGCATGGGCATATGCCATATTCGACAGTGTATAGTCACAATAGCAGCGGGTATGTGCTGAAATCACGGCCCCGTAATATATACTTATAGTTGGTAAGAGGACAAACTTTTTGGTTGACCCAACTGCAGGGCGCTTTCAAGCTCAATAGGTCCAATAGGGAAGTGAATCCTTCAGTTCATCGGAATCTTGTTCTTTCCCATGTGACTTAGATGAATTCCGTCACTACTTCTTTGGCTACAGATGGTGGCCGTTCGGAGGGTATGGGTGCTTTGAATGACTACAGGTGTCCAGCATTCAGACGTCTCAGTGATTTCCTTCCTCCTCTAATTCTGGAGTCTGAAGGGCACAAAGTCCTGAGAGTGTTTGTTTCAACTTGTGCTGCGGGGATTCGTTTGGATTACAAAGTCTGAGGCTGAGGAGTGGAAGGATGGCGGAGAGGATGCGGACCCGGAAGAG